ATGCACAATCAGCTTGTAACACTCCAAAGAGAAAGGAAAACTTGAAATCGCATCATATGACCCCTTTAATGAAAAAAAAAATAGGCTGTACAATAAAATAGTAGTGATACATTCACCAATATTAAACTTTGAACTTTTCTAAACAAAATGAATATGGATTTCCCCTCAGGCTATCTGTAATGATGAGTCAACGTGATGGTGACGATCAGGGGGAACCACAGAGGCCGGATTCATAGTTTGTTAGCCTTGCGTTGTAACCCAAATAAATAAGGTATTTTCCCTTATTCAAAATGAATGCTTAGTTTGTGGTTCATTGTTATTTATTTATTTTTTATTTTTTATGGAAACCCAGCAACAATAAAGACACTCACTTATATTAAACGAAGAAATTAAAGTTTTATTAAAAGTAACGTTTTTGGATTCGCCACCATAGTGTGTCTTCTCGCATCACTCTTGTCACGTGAAAAATTAAATGTAAAATGTGCATATAAAAATGTACAGCACAATAGTGTAATAGTTAAAATAAAGTTAAATAAAATTACATTTAATAAAGTTATGCTGTAAAAAAAAAAAGGGTATTTTGTTTTAATGTAACAAAACAACATACTGAAAAAAAAAAGTAAAATAATATGTTTAACAAAACAGAATTGTTATTGATTATGGAGTCGTTTCACCCAACATTTGAAAGCAGAAACTGCTGGATTGAGATTGTTTTGTTGTGTTTGCTGTAGAATCAGAGAGTCTGGACTGAAGCCTCACGCTAACAACTGTAAACCCTGTTCAGAGACGCCCTCGATGCCTGTGTGTGGATCAGACGGACACAACTACGCCTCACAGGTTCACACTCGCACGCACGCACGCACACTCACACGCACACGCACACTCACACTCACACTCACACACACACAGGTTTGTTTTTATGGTTTATGAGGACTCTCCATAGGCGTAATGGTTTTTATACTGTACAAACCGTATTTTCTATTGCCCTACACCAACCCTACCCCTAAACCTACCCCTCACAGGAAACTTTCTGCATTTTTAGATTTTCAAAAAAACTCATTCTGAATTATTTATAAGCCTTTTGAATTACGGGGACACTGAAAATGTCCTCATAAATCACCTTCTCGTTGTAATACCTATTTCATACCCATGTTATTATACAAATTTGTGTCCTCATAAACCACATAAACATGCACACAAGCACAGACACAGACACACACACACACACACATACAGTGAGAACATCAAGGCTTGAGCTGGAACCAGATCAAAAATTTATAAGGGTGACCGCAGGAAACAGCGATTGCTCATTGAGATAGAAGAGAGAGAGAGAGAGAGATAGAGTGGGAGGGAGGGAGGTAATTTTCTGTTTCTTACACACAAGGTCAAAATTAAAAACAGTGCATGAATCGATACAGTGACCAGGAGCAGAGCCGCCCGCCTCATTCATCACACGCATGCGATCTGCAGCCGCGCACACGCTAGTTTACACTGCGCCGCTGCAAATCCATCGATTCATCGCTCCATCACTGCAGCTGCAATAGCAGTCACTCTAGTTTGGACACTTCTCCTCCTTTATTTGAATTAATTAGAGCACGGATTGACAAACTTTTTTGTTAGCCGAACCTCTTTGAGGTAAAATATTATCTTGAAGTCACCCTGAGATTTTAAGTTAATATTTAAAAAATTTAACAATACATTACGTTCATGGTTCTCTGATGGTCATTTGACATGCAGGTAAACAAATAAAACCGATATGATTTTTTTTTTTTTTATAATAATTAATTTTTTTAAATATTTTGTATTTTTGTTTTTAAATACTTGTTTCAAATTATTTTTTAATATTTATTTGTTTGTTTTTTCCATTTATTTTTAAATATTTTTTTCAATTTATTTAAAAAAACATTTTCAATTTTTATTTTTAAATATGTATTTTTCATTTTTTTTAACTTATTTAAAAATATTTTTACATATTTTATTTATTCTTAAATAATAATTTTCAGTTCATTTGTAAATATTTATTTTGTTTTTATTTATCATTATTTGTTTTTTAAATATTTGTTAATTTATTTTATTGTTTAAAACGTTTTTTTTAAGTATGTTCTTTATTTTTAAATATATATTTTTATTTTTATTAAAGATTTATTTCTAATTTGTTAAATATTTTTGAAATATTCATTTTCACTTAAGTTTTAAATATTAAAAAAATTATAATTATTTATTTATTCGATGCTTTTCACTATCTGCTGCAACTCATTTCAGAAATGTTTTTGTTTGTAAAAAATTCATATGTACACGCATTTACATATTTTATTATATAATTTTTTATTTATCTTTTTATAATGTATTTTGTCTTATTTTAGAAAGTAGGCCATATCATCAGAAGGTTTTTATTAACATGATAAAAATTAACTCATTCAGGCGTGTCGAAACCTGTGACTAGCAGCTCTTTCTTCATCCTCAAAACATCTTACACATCCAACAAACACTCGTTCTTAAGTCAGAATAGTGAAAACCCATCTTCAGCTGCTCATATCTGCTTAATTATGTGTGTGAGTGTTGCTTTGATGAACACACTGCGGTTCTTTCATATGAAGCAGTGTAAGCTGGAGCAGCAGGCGTGTTTGTCGGGGAAGGATCTGTCCGTTCTGTGTTCTGGTTCATGTCCTTGTATCAGTCCTGGACCTCCTAAAGCAGAACCCAAGATCAAGACGAATCCAGAGATGTCACCCGAACCCAAACCAGGTCCACACACACACATTACTCCATCAGCTCTCACTGTAAACCTACAGAATGATGTTTGGTGTCACAGCGAGTTCAGACATGCATGTTTTATGAAGCCTAGTTAGTTGAATTTTTAATGCATTTGAGTGAGTTTATTGTTCCTCTGCATAATTAATCTGCTGGCAGAAGTTAAAGAGAATCTTCTCATTATTTACTGGTGTTTCTGTCTCTCCAGAGCTCTGCACCGGTCAGGATTTAGCAGATTTGGGCGACAGACTCCGAGACTGGTTTCAGCTTCTCCACGGAACTGCAAAACAGAACAACTCTGGAAGACAAAGCACAGCGTCAGGTGAAAACACAACAGAGTTTACTGCACTGTGAAGAAGCCTCTTCTGCTCACCGAGGCTGCATTTATTTGATTAAAAAATACCGTAAAATTGTGAAATATTATTGCAAATTAAAACAGCTGTTTTCTATGTGAGTATCTGTTAAAATGTAATGTATTTCTGTGATGCGCAGCTGTATTTTCAGCATCATTACTCAGTCTTCAGTGTCACATGATCTTCAGAAATCAGTATAATATGCTGATTTGCTGCTCAAGAAACATTTCTGTTTATTATCAATGTTGAAAACTTTGGAAACCTATTCCCGCCATGGAATAAAAAAATGAAAAAGGTAGTTGTGAATTATCTCACAATTCTGATGAGTTAACATCTTGCAATTACGTTTTTTGTTTTCACAATAAATTAAAAAATAAAAAAGGTATACATTTTTATCTCACAATTCTGACTTTTTTTCTCACAATAGTAAGTTTATATATAACAATTCTGTTTATATTGCACAATTTTGACTTTTTTTCTCAGAATTGTTAATTATTTAACAACAGATTTACTTGCTCATGGTTCTCTGATGTCTGGTAATAGTTAATAGTAGTTATTATCAATGTTGACATGCAGGTAAACGAAAAGGATATTTTATAATTAGTTTTATTGTTTTTTAGTTATAAATATTTAATAAAAAATTTCAGTCCATTTTGAAATATTTAATTTAAAATATATTTATCTCACTATTCAGACTTTTTTTCTTGCATTTCTGAGTGTACATCTAATTGTGAGTTTATATCTTGGAAGTTTTAATTTTTTTCTCAGTACAAGAGAATTCAGAAAAAAGTCAGAATTGTGACATAAAACTCATGATTACCTTTTTTTTTATCCTGTGCTGGAAACAAGCTTCTATAGCTTCTGTAGTTTCATGTTTTTGTTGAAACTCTGATACATTGTATTTTTCAGGATTCACAGATGAATAGAAAGTCCAAAAGAACAGAATTTATTTGTAACATTAGAAATGTCTTTACTGTCACTTTTGATCAATTTAATGCATCGTTGCTAAATAAAAGTATTAATTTCCTTAAAAAAAAAAAAAAATCAGTGTCCCCTCTTTCTTCTTATGATCAGTTGAGTATATTATCATGTATTATCTCTCTTGAGCTTTCATAATGCTTACTGTTACACTTATTATTTTTTAACTCTTTCCCCGCCAGCGTTTTTGGAAAAAGTTGCCAGCCACCGCCTGCATTTTTGCTGATTTTCACAAACGTTTAATGGCCCGCAGAATATTTTGTTGTATGAATATATGAACATGCAATACATCAAAATAAAGACCCTCTACTTTCATACAAAAAACCCCGTTTTATTCTAGCTTCAAGCATTGTTTTTTAATCAACACTTGAATGTAGGTAGATTTCATAAAAAAAGCAACATTTTGAGCAAAAAGCAAAAAAATCGCATTTTTATCAAACACTACATCTGAATCATATTCAGTAATATTATCAGATGCAGTAGATGGCTTCCATCAGCAAAGCTTGCACAATCCTTTAACACTTTCTGGATCCACATTTCACTCGCTAACATTAGGCAGTTTTCATTTATATGCGTTTAGTGTCGATGATCGCATTATTTTTCATATGCATATGCTTATATAGGATTTCGCTTGTTTCTGCGTCTTCCTGTCCTGTGTTTTTGATCGGCACTTTCTATCTAGACTCATTCAGGAGATGTGTAATAGCGCCCCCTAGCGTATAACAGCGAGAACACAGACCCGGAAAATTCCGTGTTTGGCAGGGAAAGAGTTAAATTGTTGGATTATCGCTCTGAATCTCAGTTTGTTCCTCTGCAGTGTTTGACCGGGGGCTCGTGGCCGGCTGTAAGGACTCCATCGGCTGGATGTTCTCCAAGCTGGACACCAGTAACGACCTGTTCCTGGATCAGTCCGAGCTGGCCGCCGTAAACCTGGAGAAGTATGAAGTGTGCATCAGGCCCTTCTTCAACTCGTGCGACTCGTACCGCGACGGGAAGGTTTCCACGGCAGAGTGGTGCCTGTGCTTCTGGAGAGAGAGTGAGTGTGGCATGTGCTTTTCTTGGGAAATGATCAGCAAAATTATGTTTCAGTGCAAAAACAAATAACATTGCAAGTGGACCACTAGGGAAAAATGAGCAAAAGCAGAAAAAAAAAAGGGGAATTTTAAAGTGATTAAAAAATATTTTAAAGAATTATTTAAAAATATATTTTCTCTGATGGTTCTTCTAAACCATAAATTGTATCATTTTAATGTTAATATATAATTTTTTATTCTATTTTATCTTACCACGTGTGTGATTTGAGAGATGGACTGCTGTGTAATTGATTTTTTTTATATAATTTTCTTCACGTATTTTTTGCAGAACCTCCATGTTTGGCTGAAATCGAGAGGATTCAGATGCAAGAGCCGTCTAAGAGGAAACCGGGTAAATGCACACAAACCAGCACAAATGCAATTACAAGAAAATGATTAAAAATGAAGCCACTTGCGGTTAAGAAAGGAAGGATATAATATGCAATATATGTGCAATGGATAGAAGATAGAAGACGTTTTTGAATACATCAAACCCATATAATCAGACTTCTATTAAATTAGAAAAAGTGTTTTTTGAATGGAAAATGGATGCAATGTATTTTCTTTGAGTTACAGGTGAATTCTATGGATTCTATTGTGTATAGTTGATTGATAATATGGTTAATATTAGTTAAGTAGCTAAATGAATGAATGAATAAATACATACATGCATGCATACAAAAATAAATACATACAATTTAAAAAGACCAGGAACATGAATTAAGAGAGTAAATATTTTAAATTTATGTTTTAAAAATTTTGTAACCATGTTAATGTTTTTGTATTTTGAAATAATTGGTGGAAATAAATAATACCAGTCTTGGTCGCTGTATTTATTTTCCCTGTTTAACTACCTAAGAGTAAGAAGGGAAATAAATAAATAAAATTAAAAGGACCAGAAACATGAATTAAGAAAGTAAGCAGTTTAAATTAATAGTTCATAGTTTTAAATTGCTAAGCATTTTGTAACAATATTACTATTCTTGTATTATAGAAATAATGCCAGTCTTTTCTTTAACTACCTAAAAATAAATAAATAAAAATCATTAAATATAAAAAATTAATTAAATATAAATAAATAAAATTAAATAAAAATTAATAGTTAATAGTTTCGAGGTGGTAAACATTTTGTAACCATATTAATGTTCTTGTATTATTATAAAAATAATGCCAGTCTTGATCGCTGTATTAATTTCCTTTGTTGAACTGGCTAAAATTTTATAAATAATTAAATATAAACAAATACAGTTAAATAATTCAATACATTAATAATAAATAAATAACAAAAATTACAAAGAAACTATATCACTGTAAAGTCACTCTTTTTATTTAGTTTTAATCGTTTAATTAGCTAAAAATAAATAAAGTATAATGAAATATAATATAAATAAATAATAATTAAAGATTATTTTAGTTTAATATTTAATTAAATATTTATTAAATAAATGAATAAAGGTAAATAAATATTAACACATAAATAATAATGAATAAAAACAGTAAGTAAATAAAATAAAAATACCAAGAACATGAATTAAAAAAGTAAAAAGTTTTTTCACATGACATCACTAATACTTGTGTGTGCCTGTGTGTGTATGTGCGCGTGTGCATTTGTGTGTGCGCATGTGTGTGTATGTGCGCGTTTGTGTGTGTGCGCATGTGTGTGTATGTGCGTTTGTGTGTGTGCGCATGTGTGTGTGTGTGTGTGTGTGGTTTGTGTGCGCGTTTGTGTGTACGTGTGTGTGTGTGTGTGTGTGTGTGTGTGTGTGTGTGTGCGCGTGTGTGTGTGTGCAGGCATGTACATCCCCAGCTGTGATGAGGACGGTTATTACCGGAAGCTGCAGTGTGACCGCAGCCGTGGCCAGTGTTGGTGTGTCGACCCTCACGGAGCCGAGGCCCCGGGGTCCCGGATCCACGGAAACCCTGACTGCGGTGAGTGACTGCCATCAAAGTCCCTTTCAAGGAAAGTCCGTTCACTCGGCCGCCATATTTGCAAAGCCTCCGGGCAGCTCAAACAAGACCAAGTCCTATCTACATGAATGGGGGAATCCTGAAATCTCAAAAACTGCTCGATGAACTCGCAATTAAATTACAGATTTCAAATCAGCAACAAAATCTGAAATGAACTGCCCCATGAATGTTGTTTCTTAAGTTTAAATAGCATTTAAAAAGCGTATTTTTGAGGGTAGACCAGCCTTAGGTTTCTATGGGAACCAGAGCTTCTAACGACTGCTTCAGTGATGCAATGACTTTACCAATCAGCGATTGGCTCTTTCATTTAGAAGGCGGGCCTATTCTGCCATATTGTTTCTCCCATTCATAAGTATAGGAGTGAACCGTCTTTGTATTTCTATATTCTTTGCCACCGTCTGCAGCTTCGGCGGATTCCTGTTAGTGGAGCGTGCAGTGGGGCTGCATGATATTGCAAAAAAACTCACATTGCGATATTTTGTTTTTCTGCTAAATATATTGCCATATTAAAAAAAAAAATCACCAAATGACTTAAATAGCTCTATTTGGAAAAAAATAATCAATGATTTTGTAGGTGAGTAAATCAGCATAGAAAATAAACAAAGTACAAATATAGATAAATATAGTAGAACAAAGATACAAATGAAATAAACAGTGCTTTGTATTTTTCAGGTAAGTCTAACAATATTCAGGTACAGAAATTGAATAATCAAATGTAAAACAACACTATAAATTAAATTTAATAAATCTGTGTTAAAGCTACAAAAGTGATTTTTCTCTGTTTTGTAGTTTGAATAACTTTCACAGACACAGAAAGCCTCAGGAACATGCTGTGAACCAATATACTGTTACACATCTCAATTGTTACTCCCATTTTCAAATCTCATTTAAAGATGCATCTTTTTAGGCAGGCTTACCGGTGATAGTTTTATGTAATTCCTATTGACTGTAAAGATATGAATGTGGGTTTGAATTTTATTGTTGCTTGTAATTGTTTTATGTTTTTTTATTGCATGTAAGGTGACCTTGAGTGTCATGTAAGGCGCCCCATAAATAAAATGTATTATTATTATTATTATTATTATTATATGCATGTCGCTCATACACTAAACATCGCACATCCTGCGAATGCGTACAGCGCGATATCGATGCTGAAGCGATATATGACCGTGGACCACAAAACCAGTCATAAGGGTCAATTTTTTGAAATTGAGATTTATACATCATCTGAAAGCTGAATAAATAATCTTTCCATTGATGTATGGTTTGTTAGGATAGGACAATATTTGGCTGAGATACAACTATTTGAAAATCTGGAATCTGAGGGAGCAAAAAAATCTAAATATTGAGAAAATCATCTTTAAAGTTGTCCAAATGAAGTTCTTAGCAATGCATATTACTAATCAAAAATTACGTTTTAGGTGGGAAATTTACAAAATATTTTCATGGAACATGATCTTTACTTGATTTTTAGCATAAAAGAAAAATCTATAATTTTGACCCATACAATGTATTGTTGGCTATTGCTACAAATATACCCCAGCGACTTGAGACTGTTTTGTGCTCCAGGGTCACATATATCGTGCAGTGATTGAAACTCTGTGTCTGTGTGCCGTAGACGAGCTGCTGAGCTCCGGAGACTTCAGCAGCGGCGTCGGCTGGGAGGACGAGGAGGAGAAAGACACGGATGAGAACGCAGAGGAAGAGGATGAGGAAGAGGAGTCTGACGAAGGCGGATACATCTGGTAAAACAGCTTCAGTGTCTGCGGTCCGGTGCACTGAAAAACCACCGGATTTACTTCTGCTTCCTGAAGCATTCCACCAGCGCTTGAGTTTGCATTTCAGTGTTTTTCATTTCTGTCATCGCTTTAACGGATGCAAGATTCAGATGCAAGAAAGACTCAAACTCTGCGACACGGCAAACATGAGAGCCTAGAGTTTGATGCATCATCATTAACAGGGTATTACGGTTTATTTGAGGGGATTTATGCAACAGAACTTGGTTTCTAAACCTCTGGAGATCAGGTTTACACTCACTGTACAGACCTTCATCTGTGTGAACGCGACTATAATCATGAGTTTCAGCTTCTGTCTCTCTAAAAATCATGTTTTTTATGCTCTTATGCACTAAAAATGATAAACATAATGCATATTCCCTACATTAAGGCTGGTTACTGACATTTCAGATATGCTCATATGCACATTTATGATGTTTGCTCTCTGGAGCAGCTAAAAAAGTCTCAAAATTCATTCACAATAAAAAAAAAAAAATTAAATTGTAGAAAATATTAATAATATATTGTAGAAACGTAATTTTCTGTAAAGCTGCTTTGCAGCAATTTGTATCGTGAAAAGCTCTATACAAATAAACTTGAATAGAAAATTGTGCAAAGATACTGTATTTATGAATTGTGTTTGCATTTGCAAATCGAATTTTGTGATTATGAATAAGGTTATGAATTTATCAATCGTTTTGTAAATATATCAACTTTTTGTGAATGTGAATTAGCTTTAGTTTGAGTTTTACAGTTTATAAGTAATGTATTTAGTACAAGTATATATTTGCAAACATAAATTGATAAGCTCATAATCTAATTCATATTCACAAAATATGATTTGCAAATACACAAATTTACATTCACAATATAAATGTGAATTTGCTTGCAGAAATGTGCAAAGATACTGTATATATTTGCAAACATAAACTGACAAACTCACACCTAATTTATATTCAGAAAATATGCATCGCAAAATTGAAATTCACTAAATGCAAAACCTAATTCTTAAATACAAAAGTATGTTTGCGCCTTCCTGAAAGTTTCTGCATCAACAGATTGACTAATTTGTGAATTTGCTTGCATTTTGCTTTATTATTATAAGTATACATTTATAATTTATATGTGAAGCATTTATATAAGTGTTTATTATAAATATAAATTTGCATATACTTCTAATTCATAAGTATGTATTTATTATGTATTATTTATTAAGTATATAATGGCAAACAGAAAAAGACAAACTCATAACCTTTCATATTCACAAAATATGATTTGCAAATGCACAAAGATTTTAAAATTCAAAACCTAGTTTGTGTCTTTTCTTACATGTTCGCAAAATATGATTTGCACATGCACAATAAAATTTACATCCACAAAATAAGATTATGAATAACGAAATGGCTTTTTTTTGTGAATGTGAAACCGTACGCATTTGTGAATCATATTTGGTGAATGCATTCATTTCGAGACTATTTTAGCTCCATATTGCTCTGCCGATAACAATATTTGCAAAAGAATCAATGTAGCAAACACAGACCTGGAGCGATCCAGCCGAGCTCTTTAAACAGCACCTGTCCAGTCAAATTACTGAAATGTATTTAACTTAATTATGAGGACTGACGACTGAAATACTTTGATTTCACACTCGTCTCAGTCTCTGAATCCGAACTGACTCCGGTTTCTGTTAACTGAAGCCTGTGTGGGACCTCAAAGGTCATTTTTGCTAAAACAAAACATGAAAGGTTATGAGTTATTGATTTATTTTTCATATTGCATGATCGTTCACAGCAGAAAGCTCTTTTATTGGCTCTTTCTCTGTAAAATAGCAGTCAAGGCGTGATGTTGAGAAGCTTGGCTCCTCGAAATCTGTGAAATAAAATGGTGTAAATAACTGAAGCGTCTCTCTCTGATACATAATCAGCTGTGTGTTCGTGTAAGGATGCATTTGATGTTCTCTACATCTGAAGAAACTCCAGAGGAGAAATATCTCACGATGCGTCTGAGAATCAATATCTGGCAGCGCTAAATTAATATACAGCCTCGGAGTCAGTGAAAACACTGCTGTGATATCAAACAGCATGAGAGTCAGATCATTCATGCTCATTAATGCATCAAAAAATATTATTCAGAATGAGTTTGAATGTGATATTACTACTGTTTCATTCATCGCACTGGAAACGGAAGGAGCTGAGTGCAGAGCATTGTGGGATACTGTAGTCCAGCTGTATGCTGCAGTTTCCCAAATGTAGTAAAGATCTATGCATACAGTAATTTGCATACGCAACAGGGTTGTTATTATAACTAATACTAAAACCATAAAAAATTTTATTTACTTGAAATGCAATAAACAACTTAAATAAAATAAATCTTTTTAAAAAATTTAATTTACTTGCTAAGATGACTTTTCTAATTTTTTAGTTTAACTTTATGTACTAAAATAACTATTTAAAGCTAAAACTGTAAAGGCATTTAAAAAAAAAGCTAAAAGCAAAATTACGAAATGTTTAACTAAAATTAAAATAAAAACAAAGTATAAAAATACAAATTAATTCAAAATATGAATTAAAAACGATAACAGACCAATTAAATTACTAGCTAAATTAATAAAAATGCTAATAGTTATTACAAAATTTACAAATTACTACAACTTTAACTAAAATAAAAACTATAAAAATTAATTCAGAATATAAATAAAAAATAAAAGTTACTAAATTACTATTACTAAAAAAACTACGTTAGTTACTAAATTAATAAAAACAATAAGAATTGGTGAATTACAACTTAAACTAAATGAGAACAAAGTATTAACAAAAACTATATAAAAATATGAATAAAAACTATAATAGTTACTAAATTACTATTACCAAAAAACTGAGTTACTAAATTACTTCAACTTTAAAATTAAGGTAAAAACATAAAAAGAAATTCAAAATATTAATAAAAACTATAATAGTATATCATCAGTGATACTGAAATAACATTGCTGTGCAGTATAGATGCTATATACTGCAGGAATAGTGTGCATTTACAATTTGTGCATTTGGCAAATGCTTTTATCCAAAGCCACTTGCATTACTGTGAAGGTGTATATTGATTTTATTTCATGCATTCAGATAGCATACACTTTTGCTCATGCATTCCCCAGGGATCGAACCCATGACCTTGGTGTTGCTGTTTGAGCTGCAGTGTGGTAGTTTGTTTTATTTGTGAAATCTTGAGGGTGAAAAGGGAAAATCAGGCTGAAGAAACCAGAATGCTTTCAAGCATCATGCAGCGGTGTTGATGCAAGTGTTTCAGACTCTCACACATTCACATTTGCAGTTGTGTGCTTTAACCAGTTTACAAATTCAAACAGAGTTTTATTTATTAACCCCCTGAGACTCAAACACGCATTTATAGCCAATGTGAGCATGCATGCACTCTTTATCTGAGATCTGGAAGTCACTGCTGCCTCCTGCTGTTCTGCAGTGGAACTGAAGGTGACTGAGGTTTAACTAACAATTTAAAGGAATATTTGTTTAATTATACAACTGACTACTGGATAATATTAATTAGCATGTACTTACTATAGATTTAGGGTTAGTTGCATGATGTAATTATTGTAAATTATTGTTATTACTTTAAGTACACGTAACAAGGACACTGTTAATAAAGGTGTTAAAAAATTTGGATTTTTCAGAATGTCTCTTTATGATTTACTTAAGAAATAGTCATATGGGTTTGGAACCACAGAATTTTTGTTTACACTTTATTTTAAGGTGACCTTGTTACACTGGTACTTCCTATTATAATAACAGTACATTATGCATAATTGCATGAAAGTAACACTAATCCAAACTCTAATTATATAGTAAGTACATGTAGTCCTTAAATGTATAATTACACTGTAACAAGAACACCTTAAAATAAAGTGTAAACAAAAATTCTGTGGTTCCAAACCCATACGACTATTTCTTAAGTAAATCAGAGACATTCTGAAAAATCCATACGCTTTCTATGCAAAGACAGTTCACATGTCTGTCAAGCTCCAAAACGTGCCATTAAGTGTTATATTGCATATGAATTTACTGAAAATAGACTGAAATCGAGCTCTCAGATCTCATGTGTTGGTGTGCGTGAGTCATATGAATTACTGTTAGGATGCTTTTTTTATCATACTTGTAGAATATCTCTGATTTACAGGTTTATCTTCTACTAGTTTATCCAGTCAGTATACTTAACTGTATTGTGATTGATTAAATTTTTTTCTTATTCAAATAAATTGTATATTTGCTGAATATGTACTCATCTCTAGGCCATTCAAGATCAGGATGAGTTTGTTTCTTCATCAGATTTGGAGAAATCAGCAATGGATGCTCTGCAGTGAATGGGTGCCGTCAGAATGAGAGTCCAAACAGCTGATAAAAACATCACAATAATCCACAAGTAATCCACAGCACTCCAGTCCATCAGTTAACATCTGGAGAAGACAAAAGCTGAAACAAATCCAGCATTAAGACCTGAAAATCATCTTTGTGTTTCACAGAAGCAAGTACAGCAAGTCTTACAAGTTTGGAGGGTAAGTACACAACAGATGTGTGTTCAGACGACTAAAGAGTGAATGATCAGTTTTAAAATGCTTACTAGCTTTCTGAACTTGAAAATCAAGATATTAAATAACAACAGTAGAAACATTCTTCAAAATACTTATAGTTTATAGATGTTTACAGTCTGTTATGATGGATTCCTGTACACTCAAGTCAAGGCTATGAACAATAAAAACACATTTATACTACATTATACAATATTTACACACTTGCAAAAAATGATCAGATCTGTGCCGTAGGTGCTCTCGTATCAGACGAGCCAAAGCTTCACCTGATGATCAACAAACACCGACGGCATCTGATGACATTATCTACACAAACACTGTACAGTAGATTATATATTACAGCATACTGTACATCTCAAACACATCAGCTCTTTAGAATGCAGGACGATGCTAAATAATACTACAACACTCAAGTAAAAACTCCCCGATCAAACGTGGTCTTAATATTACTCAGAAGCTGCAGGAACTGAAAAATCACACGTACTTGTACTTTGATCATTATTTAAGAAGCAATGGCTCGACTCCAGGCTCGCAGGCCTTTAATACGGTATCTTCTGCGTTTAAAGCTGCAGCGTGTCAATTGCACACATGCAGAACAGATGGGACTAAAGCAACAAAACCAATCAATAAACTATCCACTAAAATACACAAAATGATCAAATCAACAGCTGTTATTTATAGAAGCTTGTTTCTGCCACAGGATAAAAAATTCAAAAGGAACTGAGACTTTTTATCTCAGAATTCGTACTTTTTTTGTAGCAATTCTGAATTTAGATTTTATATAAATAAAAATATACATTTTCTCGCAGTTCTGGCTTTTCCTCAAAATTATGAGAAAACAGGTCCATAATGTGAGTTTAGATTTTTTTTTTTTATTGTTTATA